GATGGCACAGGACTGGACATTATTCTGTCATGTTGTTGTTGTGATCTGCTGTCCAGTCACCTGTAACTCATAGTGACCTTATATATGCAGGTCTAAAGCCTGCCCTGTCCTGAGCCAGTCTCATTGACTCCGACCCACCTATACCCCCATTGCCCTAGTTACTGTGTCGGTCCATCTCATCCAAGGTCTTCTTCTCCTGCACTGTCCCTCCACCCTTCTGAGCACGATGTCTTTCTCTAAGTACTGGCCCCTCCTGGAAATATGCCCCATGTGTGTGAGACAGAGCTTCTAAATCTTTGCCTCCGAGCAGCAGCTCAGTTTCACCTTCTCCAGGACAGAATTATAGAGGTAGAACTTCCAAAAAAGAAGAAAAAAGAAATCTAATAAATGCTTCAACAATCTTTTAAAAAGAAAATGACACAGAACTTTATTGTCCACTGACTATCAGGTTATTTGAACCCAAGTTTCAGGCTCATCTAGTTCAAGGAGAGGGAGTGCTTCTAGCTTAATGGCAAGGAATTGAGCTGCCAACCCAAAGGCACGTGGTTTGAATCCCTCAGCTGCTCTGTGGAGAAAGATGGTCAGTCTTCTCCCATGCAATTTACTGCCTCTGGAAATGATCTGAGCAGACCGTAAATAACAACATCAGCAACAACAGTTCAAGGGAAAGGAAAATGTTTCAAGAGTCAATTCAAGGTGATTACCTCTAAGGGGAAACTGATGCTGATGGAAACAGAGATGACCCAGATAACACAAAATGTGGACAATGGGAAGTTGTACAAGATGCATTGTGTCAAAGTTGATGCAGTGGCTCTCCACATCAGTCTTTGGGATTGCAAAAATGGAATTTTTCTTCCTTGCACGTGAGCCTGGAGCTGCAAACCACTCCTCCAGCCACCTCCTTCCTCAGGTGCTTTTCTCTCACTTCACAGCATCTTTCCTCACTTTCACCCCACATGGGAAGTGCGATCCTGTGACTTCCTTCCCTGGAAGCAGTACCAGGAGTTCAGTTAAAATACCACCTGAATACATGAAGGCCCTGTGTTAACCACATGCCTCTAAATCCAATAACAAAATGCATGAAGTAATCGAAAAGTTTCTAAGCTAGAGATTCTTTCTGAGCCATTTTCTCTGTAAGAGCACAGAAAGCAATTCTGTCTCTATTGTAGTTACCTGCCACTGTTGAAGGAGGAATACAATTGAGTGGCCTTGGAGAAGGATCCTTGTCAGTACAAGGAGGTGATGTTGGAGAAGGATCTTTGTCACCTGCAGCCCCTGGAGATCCTTGGCCCCTCAGATACCCTTCTCTGTAACTCTCTCCCCTTTGCGCTTGCTCCCCTCTGTGCTACTGTGTGGAACTCAGAAAGGATAAGATTTAGCATATATATACCTGCAGTGATAGGGCTCATTAACAAAACAAAGGAAGCTTTTCCCAAAAGGGATTACATCTATAGGCACTGTGGTTTAAGATTTCAACATGCATTTTACCAAAGTTAATATAATCCATTGTCACAGAGAGGGTTCCGCCTTATTGCAACTCTCCATTAAATTTATGAGGCAGTAAATCTTTATGGAAGGAACATTAGTCACAAGGAGCAGCTGGTGGATTCAAACCACTGACCTCTTATTTAGTAGTGCAGCACATAATTTGCTATGCCACCAGGGATTTGCAGCATATATTTTAGGGGAACAGTATTCAATCCATTAAAACTTATGTAGTTTTAAATCATTCTAAATCTTTAAGGAATAAATGCTTCAAATCCCATAATACCAATCCATTTTGGTTTATTTCAATATTTCATCCAGTAAATGTAACCCTATTCTTGATTGGACATTGAATAAAGAAGAATCGATGCCTTTAAATTGTGGTGTTGGAAAAAAGTATTGACTGTACCACAGCTGGCCAAAACAGTAGACAAATCTGTCTTGGAGGACCTGCAAGCTGAGTGCTCCTGAGAGGGAAGGATGGTGAAACTTCAGCTAACTTATTTTGAGCATCTTGTCGGGATGTATGAGTCCTTGGGAAAAGACATCATGCTGGGAATGGTCGAGGGCCAGCTAAAGAGAGGAAGACCTTCAGCCAGATGGATTGACACAGTGACTACAGCAATGGACCTGAGCATGATGGAGATCATGGCACTGGTGCAGGACAGGCCAAGGTTCAAAGCTATAGTTTATAAGGTTTATGAAGGTTTTCTTCAACTCAGTATCACCTAACAACATTCTTGGTGGCATGGTGCATTTCTTGGTATAAGTGTTTGCATCACTGGTTAAGTGTATTCCTTAGCATTTTATCTTCTGTGTGGCTGTTTTAAATGGTGGGTGGTTTGTTGTGGTTTTTGGTTTGGAGTTTTTTCCCCCTAGTTCCTTATCAGAGTTTTATTTCTACAAAGATATCTGATTGATTTTGTATGTTGATCTTCTACATGTCACTTTGCTGAATTTTCACTTCCTTCGAGTAATTTTCTTGCTGAGTCTTTGGAATTTTCTCTCTGGGATCATAGGATCTGCACATAAAGATAGTTTTACTTCTTCTTTGCCAACTTAGATGCTTTTTATTTGCTTTTCTTACTGTTCTGGCTAGGGTACAGTATTGAATATAAATTGTGATAAAGGGCATCCTTGTCTGATTCCCATTCACAAAGGAAATATTTTCAGCCTCACCATTGTTCACTGGTTTGGGTTCTATACTCTAAACTGTGTTGAGAAATAGCCTTTCTATTCCTATTTTATTAAGCATTTTTATTAGGACTGACTGCTGAATTTGGTCATTTTCCTTTTCTGTAACCATTAGCATGCTCATTTGTTTCCTTTGGTTTATTTACATGGTAGAGTGTACTGACTGTCCCTGTTACAGACCTAGAACTTGATGGAAAGCAGAGCCACAGGGCTGAGGCGAGTCCCAGGCTGCGAGGGTGAATACAGGCCATAGTCTCGAGGGTTCCTCCAGTCTCTTGTCAGACCAGTGTGCCTCACTAAATTTTGTTCACATTTCCTGTTCCACCTTAACCAGGATTCCATGGTGCTGTCTTTCCACCTGCTCAGCAATGGCAGCCTGACACCATCTAGTTCTGCTTCAGGGAACAGAATCATTTATTAACCAGATATGCATTGACCATCTCCTGAACGCTTATATCAGGGTTATCATGGCATACTCTAGAGTAGGTCCCTGGCAATAAACAATTGGCATATTTATCTGAGATTGAAGAGAATTTAATAAAGGTAGTGTTCAGAAAGATATGGGCTGAGTTAAGAGAATGACAAGGATATTGAGATTCCCAGGGCCTTTTGCCTCTGCTGTCATCCCGCTCTGGACACTAAACACTTGAAGCTTCTCTTGCTGAAAAAGAAGTTACACAAATAGAAAAGACAAATCCCTGTTACTTAATCTCAAAGTAAGAAAGTGCTGTTTTATATACTGTGTTGCTGGCAGGATTTCTGGTTCATATTCACAGTGTAACAACTTCCCCGTTCAGTGCCCTTCCTTCTTCTTCCAGGTCTCACTGTTAGGATTGTAAGTGCCTCATTGGAATGCCTCATTTTCTAGATAGGTCTCTAGAATAAGCTAAAATCCTGATATTTTTATTAAATGTTCCCCGTGTGTGCCCACTTTGAATTTTTCCTCTTCTCTGATTTTGTCACATATAATCACAATGGATCAGAATTATCTTTGAGGCCACTAGCAACAATAATGTCTAGTTCAGAGGTTTTCAAAATTTGCTTCCATCAAATCAGTTTGGAATTTCCTTAGAAAGTCAGTAATAATAATACTGTTTGGTCCAGCATTCCCGCTGCTGCTGTTGTTGGATGTTGTCAAGTCAGCTAAGATTCACAGCAACCCTGTGCACAACAGGTCAAACCCTTGCCCTCTCTTGTGCCATCCTCGTGATCTCTGCCAAGCTCAAGGCCACGGGTACAGTCACTGTGTCAGTCCATCTCGCTGAGAGTCTTCTCTCTCATTGACCCACCAGTCTCTGTGTGTGTTGCCATGAATTGTACTCACTTAGTAATAACTTTCTTACCATTTTGTCATAAAGCCTTTTGGTTTTCATTGTGAGAAGAAGCTCTTAGATTACAAGGAGCATCCGCATTGTAGAATATTTCTGAAGCCCGAGAAAATCGTGGACTGCTAGGAGAACAAACAGGCTCATCCTGGAGAGGGTTAAACTAGGCTGCTCCTTGGAGGCAAAAATTCTGAAGCTTCGCCTGACATACTTTGGACATGTTGCAAGGATGGACCAGTCCTTGGAGAAAGACATCATGCTTGGGAGGGTAGACAGACAGCACAGGAGAGGAAGACCCTCGATGAGATAGATTGATTCAGTGACTGCGGGTAGGTGTGTCAGAGACAGTAAGATTGGCACAGGATACAGCAGGGTTTAGGACTGTTGTACATAGGGTCACTATGAATTTCAGGAAACTCAATCACACATAACAACAACAACAACAAGAATGCTCAGTGACTCTCAACTGCCTAGCAGAGCATTGTACTCGTACACAGGCCCAAATGATGTGCTGAAGCAGCTTATGAAAATCTGTGACTTCTTCCCCCAGGAGAATTTGATGACATGGAAACATTCTCTTTTGATTCTTAAGTTGGGAAAGCAATCCAGTGTCTAACAGCATAACCCTTAGCTCCTTTCGCTTGTTCTTGAATTACTTGTTTATAAGGATTGACGGTGGGACCAGTTGATTGCTCAGAGAGTCATCAAAAGAGCTTCTGGGTAGTGTTTTCTCAGTGGGACTCCCAAGGCTCTTAATGCTCTAAAAGGCAAGGTTGGAACCAAACTGAGCTGTCTGTCAAGCTTCTTGTTCTTTTGAACAGACTTGAAGTTGTTCTTGGAAATGAGCTACTTGAGTTTGCTTCAGGGAGTCCGAACTGGTGTTTCTCGGAAAGAAGACATCTAGATCTTTTGTTACCTTGCTACGTATTTATTGTCTTTTTATCCATCTAGGGATGCAGAGTGCACTGGTAAACCTCTTATCTTGTCTCTTTGCAGGCTTGTTGATCGGCGCTGGCTGCGCTCTCTACCCATTGGGTTGGGACAGTGAGGAAGTCCGGCAGACTTGTGGTTACATTTCTGGGCAGTTTGACCTGGGTAAGTGCTCTCTTCATGGATGAGATTCTTTTAAAAGAGAACCTTGTCTGATGTTTCCTAGAAGCAGAAAGGTGGTAAAGGGGTGGATTAGGAACATATATTGTTGCCAGTGGTCCTTTGTAGCACTGCACACACATTGATTCATCCATTTGTATGGTGAAGATTACTTGGTGAGCTTTCATTGTTCTTAGCTTTATTGTAAGCACTAAGAAGCTCTGTGTAACAAGTTGGATTGATATCTAATCCAAAGGTTTGTGAATCCATCATCCACTCTGAGAGGGAACAGTGGACCGTCTCCTACTTTCATAGTCTCCAAAACCTGACGGAGGTTCAAGAGGAGTTAAGATCCACTTGATGGCAGTGCACTAGACCATAGGTGTGGGAGGCAGGATGGGTACAAAGATAAAGAATGACTGCTGCACTTGAGTTTCCTTATTGCTTTGATTGATTCATTAAATGCCATATACTTATTAATGATTACATGCGCTCAAAATAACACTGTAGAATTCATAGTCTTTCTGATAAGTCAAAGTAAATAAAGCAAATAATCAAGGAGATCGCCATAAGGACTAACGAATGCAGAGTGATTTCATTCAAAGGCACTAAATGACTTTTCCGGGAGCTCTGGTGGCCCAGTGGTAAGAAAATGTGCTGCAATCCCATAGGCACATGGTTCGATTCCATCAGCTGCTCCACAGAAGAAAGTTGGGCAGTATCCTCCCACATGATCATTGCCTCTGAAAACCTCCTGGAAGGTCAGCTTGGGGTCAGTTCAGACTTGGTGTACACAGTGCAACACACACACGGATGACTTTTTTTAAATGAGTGAAATCTGAGCTGAATCTTAGACAATGTGATGCGCGTAGATTAAACAACAAGAACCCAACCAAAATCCCTCCATGTTTTAAGTTGACTCTCTCTCATGACAGCCCATGTGTGAGAGCAGCATTGTGTCCTGTGAAGTTTACGATGATGATTTCTCGGAAGTCGATTACCAGGCTATCTTCTAAGGCATCTCTGGGTGGGTTCAAGCTGCCAACACTGTTGTTAGCAGTCAAGTGGAATACATGTACACAAATAACATCTTAAGTGTTTGTGTCATTGGTGGACAAAGTCATGAAAATTCCTCTAACATTGTGCAACTTAAAGTTAAATGGAAACGAAAACATAATGGTACCTAACAACAGCAAACACTTTGGCCATTGAGACAGCCTCGGGACAGCTGTTTGACAGCTCTCTCCCCAGACTCTTGCCTTGTTGTTTTGTTCAGGCCTCAACTTGATTAGAATCCTGGTCTTGTGGCTTTGCCTTTAAAGTGTTACCCTATTAATGAACAGATAATAATGAAACTCAGATCCTGCTATTGTAATTTTCACTACTGGATTAGAATTTTTAATGCCATATGGAACTTTTTAAAGTACCCCTTTACTAATTATAATCATTTCTTATAATTAAACTTGCTAAAATCATTTTTGCAATTTCTTTAAAGCTATGTTTTCATTTTAATTTCTGCCCTATTTTTTATTTTTAATTGCTCTGAAACTGAATAATAAGAAAAATGTTAAAATCTGACATTATCTACAGATAAAATGAGTTCTAATTCACTTGAATGCTTGAGGATCATGGAGTCCCATTTCTGCAAGGTACTTTTAATTTTGACCACTATCTTCTTCGAAGAAGATGTAATGGAAAATTGTGGCATTATGATTATCCCACCTCACACCCTGAAGTTTCTGTCTTTCCAAGACTGTCATCAACTACTCAAACACTTGAATGAATTGGTGATGACATGAATTGGTGATGTCATGAATTGGTGATGACATGAATTGGTGATGGCTCTCGGTTAGGTGGCTTCCTCAGTCTGGGGCTTGTGAGCCACAGGACGTGTGCGTGGGTGGGCCATCCCCATCAGTAAGCATGGCCCTGGGACTGTGTCAGTAGTTTGCATGGCACCTGGCCTTTGCCACTTCTAAGAACCTGATCTTCTTTCTGCCTCCCCTTAAGGGACACAGAGTATGGGCACATCTTCTCTCAGGCTTGGAACATGTTGTTATTGTTGTTAGGTGCCATATAGTTGACTGAGATTCATAATAGAGTCTATGACTCTGAACAGATCAGAATTTTGCCCTACTCTGTGCTTCCCTTGCAATCTATGCCATGCTTATGCCCACTGTCACAGTCATCATGTCTGTTTATCTCATTCAGAGTCTTCATCTCTTTGGCCCGCCCTCTAATTTCTTGTGCATGATGTCTTTTGCCAAGGCCTGCCTCCTATTGAGAAAATACCCAAAATATGTGAGAGGCAGCCTTACTTCTAAAGAAGGAGCTTTGGTGTCTTAGTGGAGAAGTAGTTGCATTCCCAACCTAAAGGTAGTCAGGTCGAATCTACCAATTGAGAAAAATGGACAGTCTCCTCCTGTGCAATTTACAGCCTCTGAAAATCCCCAGGCGGGCCAGCTGTGAGGCAGTTCCAGCTTGACATTGACGTTTGAGGCATTGACTCTTCTTCCATGACAGACCTGCTTGTTCATTTGCAGTCTGTGGTATATTCAATACTCTTCACCATCACCACAATTACAAGGCATCGACCCTTCTTCAGTCCTCATTCGTTGTCCAGTTTTCACACGCTGCACTTAAAGTTCGCATCCTCTTTATTGTGGACTATGGATCCATCTTTGAGCTTATTTTGGGCAGGTTTTTGAAGTAATATCACTCTCTTGGCTAGAGCACAGTATGAGAGAAATGATTATTTCTGTAATTATTGGTGGAAGATTATGTAAAGAGCATGTTCATTCAATCATTCAGCTTATAGAATATGTATATTTTCCTGTGTGTTTCACTGCCCATCTGTCAGCCTGTCAGGGTGGCTGAAATGATACTGGTGTATAAAACCAGCAGGATGACCCACAATAGACAGGTTTTAGTAGAACTTCTAGACTAAGACCTAGGGACCCAGCGGAAAAAAACCTAGTGATCTATTTCCAATTGAAAACCTTCAAGTCACGGCAGAACATTGTCCCCCGTGCTCAGTAGGGATCACTTGCAGTTTGGTGGAGGGCCAGTGAAGGGAAGGGGAGCCCTCAGTGACCTGTCACGATAGCTGCTGTGATGGACTTGAGCAGCCTGCCGAATGAGAAGGACACAGGACCAAGCGGTTCTTCGTTGTGTTGTATCTGTCATGATGAGTCGCAGTTGTTCCCAACAGCTTTGTACCTGTCTCTCCTGAGAAACAGCCCTTGTGCTGGTTGGGCTTTGACATCAGCAGTGAACAACAAGGACATCATTCCCTGCCCTTAGAGAACTTAAAAGCTAGCTAGGGAGGCAGGTAATCATACATCATACATCATACATCATACATCATACATACGAGAGGTAGGTTGGGAAGGAAGAGTGTCACTGCAGGAACAAGCAAGGCTATGCTCCAGTAAAGCCTTATCGACAAAAACAAGTTGTGGGGTAAGAGTTTGCTGACCCCTGATTTCAGCCAAAGCGTAACTCTGGCCTGGTTTCATTTGAGATGCATTCATTTATTGATCCCTTCCCTCCTGGGACAGCGGGCCAGGACCTAGGGTGTCACAGGTGAAGGCTTGTGTGTCATGACGCTCACGGCTTCTGTGGAACTTCTAGGCTGTCAACCTCAGAGGAAAGACTTGGAAATCTACCTCCAAAAATCCACCAGTGAGAAGTTACAGGAATCACAACCGTTCCACGTCAGCAAATTGTGGAAATGGTGAGGAATGGGGCTATGTCTTGCTTGGTCTATTGTGTTACAGATTAGTAATGGCAACCCCATTTCAACAGGCTCTTAAGCCGAAGCATCAGTGGTTATAACTTAGTTCAGGGTAGGAAGGGACTCCAAGAAGAAGCCACATTTCAATTGTGTTTAAAAATACAAGTAGTCATTAGACAACGAAAGGGTTTCATAAAAAGCTGAAGTTTGTGGTTAACCTTTCCAGGAAGTAATAGGACCTACTTTCTGGAAATCATTCTTTACTGAGAAAAATGGGTTAGAAACAATTTCTCTTCCTGTGCATTACAAACAATGCTAGGAAAAAATAAGGTTATGGTTTTAAAACAAGGCTGTTAGTTATTACTTTTTTATTAAAAATAGTTTATTGAGTAGAGAGTTCTAAAGCAGTTTTATAAAAATGCCCACATTTTATTTACTTATTGATGAAGAAATAGGTACCAGAGTATACACTTCACACAAGAGTCCTAGCAGACTGGCTGTATCTTAGAGGTATAAGGTTCCAACTTGAAAGGTACATAGAGTTTCAGCTTTCACTATTATAATTAGCCTTCATAAGAATGTAAATTTTAATCTCTATACCCCATAAATTATAATTCTATTCATTTTTCCCCTTTTACATTTTAAAAAAGAATCCCAGGGTGATTCAAGGTAAGGTGGTTGGCAAGCCGTACTTTGAAAGAAAAATTTTATAGAGAAAACTTTTTGTGTGATTTACTGGAATTTAGTTCAATCAGCAGAATGTTTTGCGTGTGGTTATTAGCTGTGATTGATAGACGTGGATTCATAGCAACTCTATAAATGACAAAACAAAATGTTGTCCAGTCCGATGTCATCTTCACAGCTGCCAGCGTTTCTAGTCCACTGTTAGGACTATTGGGCCAGTTCATGTCACCAGGTATTCCTGTGTCCCCAGCACCGCTCTGCTTCAGCAAACGTGACGTCTTCCTCCAGCCCCGATCTCTCCTGATGACACAACCCGAGCAAATGCATCAGATAATATTCTAATGTGATTCTTAAGGTCCCCACTCTCTCATTTCCATAAGTGCATTGCTGGATCTTTTTTCCTGGATGAATATTTTCCTAATTCAGTGTTTTGTTTTGTTTTTTTTTTAATAAACTCTGTAACTCAGGACACTTTAGTGTTAGGATACAATTCAACTCCAGTGGGCTTTCCAAAAAGATATTTAGATTCTTTTACAACAGGAAGACCAGCGCTCACATAGATGGTCCGCTGACTGGCTGAGATCTT